TCAGTGCAGGCTCACTGGGCCTGCGCATCCCCAGGATATGCTTCTATTTGTGGATCATCCCATCATAGGCTCCCAAGAGACTCATTTCCAGCTAGAATTTTTATCTCCCCACTTCTCACTGTTGCTCATGTGTGTGTTGGTGATGCCCAGCTCCCTGGGCACTATACTGTAAGCTTCATGCATCCCATGGGGATTACCTTACATAATCATTCTCAATCTTCCCATTGGGAAAAGGGTCCTGGGACTGATTCTGGCCAACACTGGGTTGGCCATCAGATTAACTGCCCCTTGGGGAGGTTTTGTATATCATGAAGCCACCCTAAGGAATCTGCCACAATAGAAACGTTGGCTGGAAATACAGGCAATGCCCTCAAGAATTTTTAAGTTGTCCTTGGCTCCTTAGTTAACGTAGTATGAGATAATAGACCAGTTTGGACTACCTGTTAGCAGGAGGAAGGGGATCTGTGGAGTAACTAATACTTCCTATTGTACCTGGAGTAATAATGCCTCAGTTGAAGTAGAAGTCGATATTAAAAAAAAAAAATCTTTGATCTGGTGGCTTGACTACAGACCTTCAACCAAAGAGGAGGATCTCCCAATTAAGTCTGGGCGACTATCAAACAGCACTACCCAGTACTACAAATCTTCTTTCTTTCCTGGGGTCACTAAGAATCCTGCTACTCATTACTTTTTGGAGCTGCGTACTTCACTGTTTGGTACAGTTTGTGACCAAGAGGCCATACAATTACAGTTAGTAGTCACACAGGGTATGAATAGCTCAGGGCTAAGCCCGGTGGCCCTCATATCGAGGACTAGCTAGAAACAGGGTTTGCATCTTCGATGATTCCCACAACGATGCCCACATCCTGCAGGAAGTAGCTACAGATGATCCATTGCCCCGCGCCCCTCAAGAATGAGAAGCAGAACAAAACTAGAGAAGGGATCTTGTCACCATTGAGACCTCCTAAACCCAGGAAACTCCTAGAAGCTTCTGCCTAATTATGAATTCTATCTTTTAGAAGTGAAATAGTGAATTGCTGGCACAGGAAAAGAAACATTTTAAATACCAACTCCAGGATAATGATAACCATCATCATCATTGGAAAGGAAATACCGGTAATTAATAAGGTAAGTGCTGGAAAAATTAGAACCCTCCTACCTTGCTGGTCAGAATGTAAGCTGGACCAGCCTCTGTAGAAAACTATTTAGTGACTCCCCAAAAGATTCATCATAGAATTATCATGTGGTCCAGAATTGGATTGGAATTGAAAACAGGTACTCAAATACTTGCACACAAATCTTCATCACAGCACCGTTTACAAGACCAGAAGGTGCAAATAACCCAAGTGTTCATCTATATAGATGAGTGGATAAATAAAACGTGGTACATATATACAATGGAATATTATGGAACAGTAAGAAGAAGTGAAGTGCTGATACGTGACACAATATGAATGAACCTTGAAAACATTATACTAAGTGAAGGAAAGGTACACAGACACAAAGGTCACATGTTGTACCATTTCACTGACATGAAATGTCCAGAATAGGTCAACCCACAGAACAAAATCCAGTTAGTACTTGCCAGGGGGCAGCGGGTTGTCAGGGGAAGGGCAAAATTGGAAATTCTTGCTTCACAGACATAGAGTCTCCTTTCAGGGTGATAAACTGTTTTGCGACGATAAAAGAGGTGGTTGCACAACATTGTGAATGTACTAAGTGCCGCTGAATTATATCCTTAAAAGTTATTATTTTAAGTTTTGTGAATTTCACCTTTATGAAAATAAGAAAGTCTGCCTGTAGATGGAGAGACCCAGCTGAGGGGTCTCCATTCCCACCTTGGGGGTGGGAGGCTGGAGGACACATGGGGACAGACCTCAGACTCTGAGAGGTGGAACGGCACGGTTGTCCTTGAGGATAATGTCAAAATGCAAAACAACTCCCTGCCGCAGTGAACAATAAGGAGCAACTGTAAACCTTGGAATGTGTGGATGGTTGGTAAGAGAGGCAGCCGACACTGCTCCTGGGAAGGGAGCCATTGAATACGATGTCTCCATGTCTCTGCAGAAACCAGTTTTTGACTCAGGACCTCGGAATCACATGGCTAGCTCCCCCGTATGGGCTCTGCCTACACTTGCAACCACTTCTCTCCTCAACATCAGGATACCCCCATCTGCTTCTGGCCAACGTACTCAAAGAATTAGTTCTTATTTCTCCCTCCCTTCAACCCCAATATGACTAAAATTCCATGAAATCTAGAACCTTGCTACTCAAGGTGTGGTTCACAGAGCAACACTGGGGTTACCAGGGAGCTTATTATAAACGCAGAATGTGGGGCACTTGGGTGGCTCAGTGGTTGAACATCTGCCTTTGGCTCAGGGCATGATCCCCACGTCCCGGGATCAAGTCCCACGTCGGGCTCCCCGCAGGGAGCCTGCTTCCCCCTCTGCCTGTGTCTCTGCCTCTCTCTCCATGTCCCTCATGAATAAATAAATAAAACCTTGAAAAAATAAATGCAGAATGTTTGTCTGCATTCAGAATCAGTATCATAAGATTCCCTAGTAATTTGAATGCATGTTATTGTTTGATAAGTTCCCATCTAGAGAGGATACAATGGAGAAACAAATGCAATTCATTTTCTCCAGGGCATGATGATACCTGATTTCAGTTATACCTCTTGGGATTATTTCTCAACATGGTTCATCTTTTCAGTTAATTAAAAAAAAATAGCAAGTTATGGTGTCTGACCAACTGGGAAGATGGTAGGATGGCACGAGTCATCTTCCTTCATACTGTTTTTCAAAACTGATTTGATTTGTGCCATATCCTTGCCACAGCAGATCTCTTTCCATTCCTCAAACTCTTCCCAGCAGAGGACCTTTGCACTCGCCTGACCCCACTCAAAGCAGATCCCCTTGCCTTTTTTTTTTTTTTTTTTTGTTTCAGGGTACCCTGCCGATTTTCTTCCTTGCCACACATTTTGTAGTTTTATACACACACACACACACACACACACACACACACACATTTATACATATACATATGTATGTGTGTGTAGTTATATATATACATTTATGTAATAATGAGTAGCATAGCAGGTGATTATGAGCACAGACTCCGGAGCCAGGCTCCCTGATTTCCAACCTCAGCACTCATTGCCCCCATCCTGCACTTAGAACGCTGCAAGTGCATTCACAAACGTCTCCTTTTCTGCGCGGCGGCCTGCGGTGCTACCCCAACCCATAGTTGTGTGACACAAAGTAAGTTACTGAACTGTCACATGGCTTCTTTCCTCTTTCCCCCAAGTGGGAATGACAGTGTCTATTTCACAGGATCTCTGTGACAGCTAGCAATGGAAATGGGGAGGAGCAGGGGATTTGTAACCTGAGGACATTCTGAATATTTCATTTCATGGTGGTACAATGAATTTTGCCGGGAGGTAAAAGGGAAGCAAAGATGTGGGGCTTCGCCCCCAGGCCAGGGAGCGGCTCTTGAGTATAGAACAAATCCCCCCTCCTTCTGCGGTTACCCTATAGCCCCTGGCTCTGTCCTCCTTGCACTTTCTCCTAGGCGTTGTTCATTAGTTGGCGCCAGGACTTCCAAGCCTGCGGCCTGCAGTCCTCAATCTCCAGGAGCTCTCTGGAAATCTGGGTAGCACACTGATGTCTTAAAATTAGTAGGTCCCAAACTGAGCTCACCTTCTCCATGACTGCTGCCTCCTCTGCTCCCCTTTGTCACCCAACTTTGTCACCTTTGGCCACTCTGTCCGAAAGTTCCCTGCCCTTTCCACCCGCTCTTTCCCTGCTCCGCTCATCTGTCACCTATCCTTGTGCAATAGGCCATTTCGCTTATTCATCTTGTTTCCCTGCTACAATGTGAACTCCGCAAGGACAGGGTTTTTCACCTGCTCTGATCTAGTGTCCCCAGAAACTAAAAAACTAATGCTTTCCCCTCACTGCTGTTGCCGGTCAATCTAGTTCATTCTACATCCATGGTGACTCTCTCACTTTTGTCTTTTGTCTTCTGCTACTGCTGTGCTTGGTCAGCGGTCACTGTTTCTCAGAACTGTTGCAAGAGCTTGCCACCTGCTGGCTAATGCAATTTGGGCAAGTTATTGAAATCCTCTTGGCGCCTCATTTAAAATGGGGTCAATACAGTGCAAACACAGAGGCCTGTGCTGAGGCTCATGTATGTAATGAGTGCGCAGCACCTGGCCCAGGGCCTGGAACAGAACACACCCTCAAAGAAGACAGCTATTTTTATCCGCTACCCTGAGCTAGTTCTGGCCTAGCTTTCCTGTCTTGTCTCCTGGGCCATCTGTCCCTGAATCCTATACTCTGGCTCCAGTAACCACCTGTGGTTCCCCAAACATGACAGGATCCTTCGTGCTTTCCATGTGACGGACAGCGGGGAAACAGGACCCCTCTTTCTGGGTCACAGAGAGTCCTGCTGGACTGGCTAGACCCTGATTTACATCGGAGGAAGGGAGATATCTTTTTTCAGAGTAAACAAAAACTAATAGATCTATTTCTGGTGTTTGAACTGTGCCCAGAAGTTTCGGTTCCACCGAACCGTGGATGTTCAATATTTTCGCCGAGGTTCGTGAGGTTCAAGAAGAATAAGCCACCTGCCTGAGGTTACAGAGCAAGACGGGAGCCAAGTGGCAGGAGGGGCCACTCTCCTGCATCACAGCACGCTGGCCCCAGGCCCAGGCCCAGGTAGTCTGCTCTCAGGAAAAGTTTCCCTCCCTGCACCCGCAGAGCCGCCCGTGGACGTGGACACGAGTGGAGCCGTGATCCCTGAGGGAGCTTGGGCGCGTCGTGTGCTAACCGACAGGAGGTGGCACTTTCTCAGGCCCACCCGATCCCTCCATCCCTCAGCAGAGACAGACCACAGACAGACAGACAGACAGACGGTATGCCCAAGTGACTTAGATGGAGCAAGCTGCGCAAAGCCCGGGAGGCCCTTGGTGGCTGCGAGGCGGCGGCGGTGGCAGTTACCTGGCTGGAGGAGGAGGAGCAGCAGGAGCGGCGGGAGCACCCAGAGCATGCTGTCAGCCACCCAGGCTGCTGCAGTGGCTCCGCTGGCCCGGGCTGCCTGCACCGCCTGTCACAGACTGGAAGTGCTCTTACGAAAACTTCCTCATCCTATCAGAAGTGGCACACGCCTCTTCCTGCACACTGCGGGCATGATTTTGTAAAAAGATTTTTATTTATTCATTCGTGAGAGACACAGAGAGAGAGAGGCAGAGACACAGGCAGAGGGAGAAGCAGGCTCCATGCAGGGAGCCGGACATGGGACCCGATCCCAGGACCCCAGGATCACACCCTGGGCCGAAGACGGATGCTCAACCACCGAGCCACCCGGGTGGCCCTAAAAGTTGCAGTTTTTGCTGCTCAATTCAGTGGCATTACTTGCATTCACAGTGTGGGGCCGCCCCAACATTACAGGCGCACCTCGTTTTGCTGCACTCCTCTTTGCGCGGCGTTGCAGACACGGTGTTTTTTTCCAGATTAAAGAGTTGAGGCAACCCTGGGTCACGCAAGTCTATCGGTGCTGTTTTTCCAGCATTTCCTTGCTGCGTGCCATTTTGGCAATTCTTGCAATATTCCAAACTTTTTCACTATCATATTTATATGGTGATCTTTGATCCGTGATCTTTGATGCTACTATTACAATTGTTTGGGGGCTCCATGAGCCCGCACCCATATAAGGTGGTGAACTTAATTGGTAGGTACTGCGTGTGTGCTGATTGCTCCACCGACGGCCGCTCTCTCCCTCAGTATTGACATTAGGCCAGTGAATAACCCGGCAATGGCCTGTAAGGGTTCAGGTGAAGGGAAGAATCACACATCCTTTGCTTTAAATCCAAACCTAGCGGCGATGAAGCTCAGTGAGGACACACGTCCAACGCGGAGACGGGGGAAGGCCTAGGCCTCTGGCACCAAATAGTTAGCCAAGTTTCCTAAAAGAAATTAAAAGTGCTTCTCCAGTGAACACAAGGAGGACAAGAAAGCTAAATGGCCTGATTACAGATGTGGAGCAAGTCTGAGAGGTCTGGTCAGAACACCGAAGCAGCCACAACATCCCCTTAAGCCGAAGTTTCTAGTCCAGAGCAAGGCCTGAGCTCTCTGGATTCAGTGAAGGCGGAGAGAGGGGAGCTGCGGGAGCACAGTCTGGAGCTAGCAGGGGTTGGTTTGCGAGGCGAGGAGAAAGAAGCCGTCTCCGTAACATGGAAGTGCAAGATGAAGCAGCACGTCCTCCAAAGATCTAGCTGAGGGAATCACCGAAGGTGGCCAAGCTAACCAACGGTTTACAGTGTGAACACAGCAGTCTTATAGTGGAAGAGGAGGTATCTAGGGCTTTCCTGGCGAGAGAGGAGAGGTCAGTGCCGGGCTTCCAAGCTTCAGAGGACAGGCTGTCTCTCTTGCTAGGGCCTAACGCGGCTGGTGACTGTGAGCTGAGGCCAGTGCTTGTTGACCATTTTGAAAATCCCAGAGCCTTTGAGAATGATGCCAAATCTACTAGAGCCTTGGCTCTAGAAATGACACAACAAAGCCTGGATGACAGCACGTCTGTCTGCAACATGGTTTACGGAAGGTCTTAAGTCTGCTGTCGAGATCTGCTCCTCAGAAAAAAGACTGCTTTCAAAATATTGCTGCTCCTTGACCATGCACCTGGCCACCCAAGGGCTCTGATGGAGATGGACAATGAGATCAGTGTTGCTGTCATGCCTGTTGACACAACACCCTCTCTGCGGCTCATGGAGCAAGGAATCACTTTGACTTTCTAGTCTTATTATTTGACAAATCCGTTTTTGTGAGGCCGTGGCTGCCATTGATTATGACTCTGCTGACGGATCTGGGCAAAGTCAATTGAAAATCTTCTGGAAAGGGTTCATCACACTTGATGTCGTTCAGAACATCCACGGTTGGTGAGAAGAGGTCAAAATATCAACATTAACAGGAATTGAAAAAAGCTGATGCCAGCCCTCATGGATGTCTCTGGGGGCTTCAAGAAGTGACTGCAGATTTGGTGGAAATAGCGAGAGAACCAGAATCAGAAGTGGAGCTTGAAAATGGGACCGAATTGCTACAATCTCTTGATGAAAAGTTAATGAACGAGGGGTTGCTTCTTATGCATGAGCAGAGGAAATGCTTTTTTTTCTCTTTTTTTGAGATGGATTCTACTCCTGGTGAGGATGCTGTGAAGATTGTCAAAATGACAATAAAGTGTTTAGAATATGGTGTAAACAAAGATGATAAAACAGTGGCAGAGATTAAGAGGATCGACTCCAACTTTGAAAGAAGTTCTACCGTGAGTAAAATGCTATTAAAGAGAAACCATTCCTGAAAGGAAGTATCACTCAACGTGGCAAACTTTACTGTGGTCTTATTTTAAGAACTTGCACCTCCACCGCCTTCAGTAACTACCATCCTGATCCGTCAACAACCCCCAACACGGAGGCAAGATCTTCCACCAGCAAAAAGATTACTGCTCGCTGAAACCTCAGATGACGGTTAGCATTTTTTTTAACAGCAAAACATTTTTAGAGTCGTTTATTATATCTGATATGAGTGTTAAGAGATATGATTTTGTATCTGCGTTGCTAAGGTTTAAAAATGCTGGCTTAGGGGTGCTTGTAGGAGAAAAGAATTAGGTTGCCACTCACAGAGGAGCGGAGATCATGAGAATCACGGAGGAGGGAGAGAGAGAGAGAGAGAGAGAGAGAGAAAGAGAGAGAGAGCCTTGAATGATATCATTTGTCTCTGGGTGTAAATACCCGAAAGACGCCCTCTTGAGCTCCCCGTGTATGTGAGCCATGCCTTCTTGTTCCCCACTTGCCTAGAATTTGGTAAGTGACACTGTTGGCCATTTGCCAGCTCTGGAATTTTTGAATGAAAAAAAAATCTCTTTTTTCTGAAATGCTTCCCCTTGTCCTTTGAATATCAGCTGATATTTTTACTTTTTATCCAATACCTCATTTACCCACCTTTTATCTTCAGTTCAAAGCCATGATCACCTTAAAACGAGGGCTTGTTTGGTTGCATCCTCAAGTCTCTCGTAGTCTGTAACTCAGTTTCATATACAAGATATCATCCCCTTGAAAAACCTTCCCAAACCGCCTGAAAACCAGGGGAGGTGATTTGCTCTTCTTATTATTCAAATCACAGCATTTCTCAAATGGTTCAGAATTTTTCCTTGGCCCATCTCCTTTACTTTCTTATGATTTAATTGAGGACATGAAATGGGTTGATTACCATTCTTACCCACAGCCTAATGCAGTACCTAGGAACGTAACAGACACTTAGTAAATATTTATTAAGTTAATGAGTAAATATAATGTAATGTATTCCTATGTAAAGACTACAAGATGTTCTCTTTTTTTCTTTTTTCTTTCTTTTATTTTTTTTTAAATTGAAGCATTGGTGACTACATTGACTATAGTCGATTACAAAACTACTATCATTAAGGGCCCCCCGGGTGGCTCAGTCAGCTAAGTGCCTGACTCTTGATTTCGGCTCAGGTCATGATCTCAGGGTTGTGAGGTCAAAGTTGCATCCAGCTCCACATTCCACGTGGAGTCTGCTTGAGATTCTTTCCTTCTGCCCCTCCCCCCCTCAGATAAATAAATAAATCTTCAAAAAATAAAACTAGTATTATTAATTTCAGGTGTACAGCATAGTGATTCGACATTTATAGGCATTATGAAATGCTCACTATAAGTGCAGTTACTGCCTGTCATTATACAAGATTATCACAATATATTGACTATGTTTCTTTTTTTTTAAAATAAAGATTTATTTATTTTAGAGAGAGGGATCATGTGCAAGTGGAAGAGGAGCAGAGGAAGAGGGAGAAGGAGAGAAGCAGACTTCCTGTTGGGTGCAGGGTCCAATGTAGGGCTTGATCCCACAACCTGGAGATCATGACCTGAGCCAAAATCAAGAGTCAGATGCTCAATTGACTGAGCCACCCAGGTGCCCCTGTTGACTCTATTCCTTATGCTGTACTTTTCATCCCCATCATTTATTTATTTTATAACTAGAAGTTGCATGTCTCCATCTCATTCACCTATTTCACTCACGCCCCTATCCGCTTCCTTCTGGCAACCACTAGTTTGTTTTCTGTATTTATAAGCCTATTTTTATTTGTTTGTTTTGTTTTTAGATTCCATGTGTAAGTGAAATCATATGGTATTTATCCCTCTCTGTCTGACTTATTTCACTGAGCCTAATACTCTCTTGGTCCATACATGTTGTTGCAAATGGCAAGATTTCATTCGTTTTTATGGCTGAGTACCATCTCATTTACATAAATATATATGACATATATAATGGATAAATTATATAATGGATAAATAGACATTCAGTTCTGTATCTTGTATCTTAGCTATTGTAAATAATTCTCCAATAAATGTATTTATTTATTTATTTGAGAGAGAAAGGGGGAGAGAGAGGGAGAGGGAGTGAATGGGAAGAGGGGCAGAGAGAGAGGGAGAAAGAATTTCCAGCAAACTCCTCGCGGAGCATGGAGTCCAATGTGGGGCTTGATATATATGATCATGTCATCTATGAACAGAGATAATTTTACTTCAGTTTGGATGCCTTTTGTTTCTTTTTCCTGCCTAATTGCTCTGGCTAGAACTTCAAATGCTATGTTGAATAGAAATGGGAAAAACCAGCATCCTTGTCTTTCCTTATCTTAGGTGGAAAACTTTCAGTCTTTCACCAACGAGTATGATATTAGCTGTGAGTATTTCATATATGGCCTATTATGGGGCTTAATTATAGGTGTGTGGATACAAACAGTCATTTAAGTGGAATCCAGGGATAGAGATGAGGTTACCAGGAACGACTCGGGGAGGACCCTCTTGTCTGATGGTATGGTCCTCTGTGAATTGCATCGGAGACCAATAAGGCTTTGGGGAATTTTATACCAGCAGAAATACTGTCAACTTGGACTGAAGGAGACAAAGACAGGACTAGAGGAAGGAAGGCAATGGGATTTCTGGAATTCTATTGGACAGACCAATAAAGTTATCCAGCTGCAACATGTGTTATCCTTCCAGAAAATAGAAAAA